TTCTCTGATTGTATCTTGGACAACTGAACAGAAACCTTAGGCTGGCAATTTCTTCTTGCTGACTTTGGTCATTTTTATCATGTTTCAGGCCTTTCTTTCTAAGGGGAAGTTCTGGCTGAATTGCTTTCAAAGCAAAATTCATCCTTAACTTCATCATAAAGCATTAAAGAGAATTTAGGTAATCAAATCCAAATCCTCATCTCCTAAGAGATACATACAATCTATATTGTGTAATTACTTCTCTTTTCAGAGGGGCTGTCATCATTTGATTAGCTCAGATTAAGGCTGATCCGGTGATGCCAGCGGGTGAAGATGTCCTGCTCTGCACCATCCATCTTCAGGCACCCAACCAGTGCGAGGATCAGGAGGGAAGGAGCACTTTGCCAGAAGATACAACCATGTGTAATTGGATAATACAATAGGGATGGGAAAAAAAGGTGAATATAAAGGGGAAAGATCTTGCACTAAAGCCCAATAGCTTGTCAAAGAGCCTCCCAGGAGAAACAGAGACAGTTCTGTCAATCTTGAGTAATTTAATATGGGACTGATCAAAGCAGCAGATACTGAACAGAGTGAACAATAATGTGTTTGCTAAGAGAGAGCTGGTGTCCTATAGGTATTTCCCCAAGAGGAAGGGATGGGGCTGCACCACATGCTCTGCACCCGGCTCTGCTGAGGGCTTTGTGCGCTGTCTTGGTCAAGTGCTCTGGGTCTGAACATTTGTCAGATAAGGACAGTAATACCTACACCAAGGGTGGTGGTAATGAACGAATGTTTCATCTGAAGTGCTAAATAAATGCATAGTTTTATAACAGGTAAGATGTAGGTTTGATGTTAGCACTGCACCACAGGCTGTTTCAACCTCATATCCCTTCCTGGCTTATGAAGGCCAATTAGCAGCACTGCCAGGGCTTGAATTCTCAACCATTGGAGAAGTGGAGTAAATGTGGCTAAGTATTGGAATAAAAGTTAATTGCATTATAACTTTGGAACAAGAAGAAAAGCATTCATTTGATTCTAGACACTGACACAGATGGTTATTTTTCATTATAATAATAATACAAATGATTCCCTTCCTCTACCCCACTTCTTTTATTTAGAGTGGAAAGAAGCAGATTGGTCAAATTAAATCAGGGTAGCCTGAACATTTCATTACCATTTATTAAGATATTAGGGCAAGAGACATTTAGAACAAAAGCTTGATTATGGGTTTAAACCTTCTTGCATAAAACCTGACCTTTTCCCATGGGGCTGCTCTCCAGTAGCTTCTGAGCTCCTGACAGAGATCTACAGCTGCAACAGTGAAAGCTGGGTTTGGAGAGAAGGAATCCAGGCTGGGGCTTAACACACCGATGGGAGCGCACTCGCTGCTGCAGCTTTAAAAGGACTTGTAGAGGTTTCCTTCAGGTTTATGGCTGGTGAAGGGGAAGACAATGGAAAAAATAGGCTGGAATAGGAATAAGTAGGCATGGGAATAATTTCCTGTGTCTGTCAGACAATTGTGTGAGATTTTTAATAGCTTCTTATAATAAATGATAGTGTGGAAGCTGCTCAGACAGGCTGCAGACCTGGTACCATGCTGGGGAGAGCCACAAATGTGGCTTCTTGGTGTGACCACATTGTTGTCTTCATTATTGTTATTATGAGTAAGTAATGATAGTAAATAACAGCAAGATGAGTGGAATGCAAATTAGAATCATAGAATGGTTTGGGTCTTCATTAGAAAGAGCGATTAGTGCTGCATCATCTGCATTTCCCCATGGTACAAGCAAAGTGAAACTCTTGACTTTAAAGTGCATATAGGTTGTTTATCTTGAACTTGTTCAGGCCTTTGTTTTATATCTCCAGGTTACTGGAGAAAGGGGCAAGGAGGAGAGTTTGCCAGACTGTGGGCATCTTAATGTCTTTGAATGCAGAATATAATGTTCTTATGCAGAAAATACTGAAGGATGAACTTGGAGAGGAAGCGATTAAATTCCTGCACATCTGTAAGTGAGAGGGATTCTTTGTGCCCAGTTTCATTTCCAGGGCTTTTTTTTTGCCTGCCACAGCATCCTTGCTAACCCTCCTCTGTGCCTATTTCTCATGCAGATGGTGATGCCACAGGAGCCTTTCCCTCTGCTTTAAGAACCAGAAATGTGACTAGCCAATATGATACCATGAAATAAGCCCTCACAGGTTATTCCTGACGCTTCCTTCCCTTTCCTCACCCTGACTGCAACGATTCGGTGTAGTTTGTATCACACTATTGATTTTATTTCTCTTTCACTTGGCCATCCTTGGCCTTCCAGTGCCTTCTGTTTTTAACTTCCCTCTATCAAAAAAGAAAGTGCAGTCTCAAAGGGGGAAGAAGATGGGTGGATAAACCCACTGCAGCGTGGCAGTTATCTCCTGCGTGGATGTTGTCCTGACATGGCTGCAGTTCTCTGTTTGACAGCTGTAGCTGAGCTTGTCGGAGCACCAGGGGAGATGGTTTTTCCCTCTCCAATTTCCACGCTTAAATCCTTTCTTGCTTTAGCTGTGCCCACATGCAGTTGAACACCTGAGTAGGTATGATACTTGCATTGAATCAATACTATGATTTATGCATAAAAGCCCAGAAACCCTGCGAAACAATTGTGAAAGTAATTTTTCATGAACCAGACTTAAAGCGCTTGCCAACAGGCTAAAGTACCTTCTTGTTAAGTGTTGTATTTTGTTCTTCCCTCTTTCTTCTCCTCCATGTATGCCTTAATATTGATAAGTGTTCTCTAGCATGAGAGAGCATTTGCATTTTTTGCTAAACATCATGTGGTTGAATACATCAAAGGATCCTTTTGTTCTTTCCCTATTTGTATTCTCTCAAATTCAGGACTTGATTTTACAGATAACTGCATGCGTTGTGGCTGGAGGTTCCGTACTCGGGCTTGTTAGTAAGGCTCAACCCTTAGTAGCCTCCAAGCAGTTCTCTTAAACACACAAAGTACCGAGGAAAGCCTTTCTCCGTGATATTTGAGTAAGATGTTTGAGGTTCCCTTTGGATTCTGTGCTGTTCAGAGCTGACTCAGTGCCTTCCCTGCCTGTGGTTAGACTTCAAGTAGCTGCTGCAAATCAACTTAGTGATATTAATAATTTCCCTCCTCCCTTGTGTGGCTGCTTACAGATCTTGACTGTTCTTTGGCTTTAAGAATTTAGTGCCTTTCAGTCCCACTGTCTTTCCCATGGTTTTGGTGCCTATCTTTGCTTGCCATTCTCAATTCTAGAGACAGAAAGCAGGAGTTCTGTGTGTGGATGCTCCATTGGATGTGAGATGTGCTGCGGTTGGGTTTCAGGCTCCGGTCCTCTGGGGTTGCCCCACTTCATCTCAGGGGCTCCAGCACCATCAGGAACACTGACATGGGTGACATGGGGGCACAGGCACCCTCCCACTGATGGCAAGAGGCTGAGCCTGAGCGTGGCACTTCCTGTTGCAGATTCAGCGGTGACTTCTGCAGTGCAGGGGCTCCCACACTGTGCCCCTGAATGGGAGAGGGCTGGGAAATATGTAACAGGAAACATAATCCACCTTTTTTCTGCATTGCACTTTGCCAAAGCAGATGAAAACAGGTTAAGATTAATGCTCTACATATGAAAGCCAGCCAAATGAGACAGTCAAATTCTTTGCCTGGTTGTCTCTGTCCAGCAGCTTTAATCATAGAATCATGGAATGATTTGGGTTGGAAAGGACCTTAAGATCATCCAGTTCCAACCCCCTGCCACAGGCAGGAGCACAGAATAAGACTTTAAGAATCTTGTCTGTCAGGAACAAATTGCCAACGCGACATCAAAGCTCCCCAGCTTAGTTAATGTTTATTTAAATGACCATTTTCTCCTGGCAGATAAAAGATTGAACTGTTATGTTGCCATTGCTGTGTTTTAAAGTCCTTCGATATGAAGGTGCCTGAAGCCAGCATTTGATTCTCATTATGTTATGACTTTTTTTCCCCCCTGCATAATTTGAATAACACTCTGTTTAACTCAGCAGCAGGAGGGATGTGGGGCTTTCCTTTATAGTTTAGAAAGTGAATCGAGTTCTATAAAGGCCTCTAGTCTTCAACGAGACAAAAAGGAGATTCTGGTGTGGGGAGCAGAGTGCTCATTTTCCCTGAACACCTTTATGTGTTACTGGAAATTATCACCCAGGGTTTGTGTTTACTGCAGTGATTAGGATAGCATAAGCACTCAGAGAGAGGCAAGTGGCCAGCACAAAGGGGGTTTGAATGGCATGCACACCTTTCCATTAGGGAAGAGATTGATAGCTACCTGCTCTCAGATTGCCACCTCTGAAGGGATCATTACCAGCAATTAGCCTTCCCTGCCTAGCACAGGCCACAGGGTTTCAGCTGGTTGTTTTTCATTCAAGCTTACATTTCACTGCTTAAAGTAAAGCAGATATTTAAGGGGAGGCAAGGCTGTCCTGGCTTGATTTAAAGGCTTGAAGTAAATTCCTTTCAGGCATCCCTATTCTGCGCTGCTCTTCATCCACTGGCCTGCATTGGGAAGTATGGTGGGACACGTTGCACCACCACCCCCCCGGCAACGCTCCCATTAGCTTCCATTGGCATCATTTTGCATCCAGCCTTGAATGTTGTGGGTTGAGTGTTCAGCAAACCCCAGCCTCCTCCTTCACCCCACATTTCAAAAGAGCATCATCCTCACAAAGCCCAAATCTCATTGGGAGCCAGATGGATTTTATGTTCCTTAAAACAGCATCATCCTAAGACACAGCAGTGTTCAAGGCCAGGTTGGATGGGGCTTGGAGCAAGCTGCTCTAGTGGAAGGTGTCCCTGTCTGTGGCAGGGGTTGGAGCTGGATGAGCTCTAAGGTCCCTTCCAACCCAAACCACTCTGTCATTCTATCATCACTTAAAAAATGAGATTTCTTGGGCAGTATAGATTTTTTTTCTACCACCCTTGTCCTACCTTAACCATGAAGCATTCCTGCCTCCCTGATCATATGCAGGTTGAAATGAAAGTCAGATTTGATTCAAGTTGTCTTAAATCCTAGTTTTTACTGCTCCTCTGGGTACGTTATTGAAACTCCAGACACTCTTCTCCATTTAAGGAGTTAATGAGAGTCATTTTAAACCCTTGTAACATATCTGCTATTCAGAAACATATTTCTAAGCTCTCTCAAACAGCTTTGCTCTGTAACACAATTTTAGGCAGCAGTTTAACACACTGTTTTGCTAAATGACTGCACTCCATATTCTGGCATCCTGTGTTCAGCTTTGCCTCTGTGTGAAAATGTGTACCTCAAAGTTCACGTGGTCCTTGGGAAGGTCACTCCAGCCTTTGGCCACACCAGCGGTTGTTCGCTGGATCTGGTTGCCTTAAAACCAAGGTCAGTATGCAGGGATTTAGTGTGATTTTGTGTAACCTCGTGTCTGTCTGCTGCCTTGTGTTTTCTCCTACAAAGGCCAAGTCTGTTCTGTTTTCTTCAAAACCCTGACACCCTTTACCACTAATCTTGATTCCAGATTAAGCCTGTTCCATATTTCATAACTCTCCCATTGCGCTGCAGCCTCCCAGATGTTGCACCGGTTCCATGCTTGGCTGCAGGCGAGGAGCAGCTGGGCTAAGCTGCTGCTCCCATGGTGTTGTCCAGTTCCTTCCTTAATGTCAACATTATCCCAAAACCGTGTAAACGTGTCAGTAGAAACCCCCCCATGAAGCGTTACAGTAGTTTTTCATTTGCTTTCACACCAAGCCTCGCCTCCGAAGTTGCACAGTACTCCCAGCAATCACAGAAGTCAGGGCGAGCTTTATTTAATTTAATTAATTAGTCCATCACTAGAAAAGTCTGAAGAGAAATGGAGGTGTATATATAAAAGAATATGGAAGCTAATAATTTATGAGTTACTGCATAAAACCAGCAGCAGTTCCTCTCCGAATACGATTTGCAGACAGGGTGTGGGGTAGCAGACGCAAGAGCCCTAAAGCCATAAAATAAGGTTGCTCACTGGCAGGACCATGCTTCGCTCTGACAGCAGTTCACATTTTCTTTAGCACACAGAAATCAGTGTCACAGGGAGCTGCAGCCACCAAAAAGCTGGTCCAGAGCTGCCAGAGCATCCCTGCAGTGCAGGGGGGCAGAGGCTGTCTCGAGGGCACGTGTTGAAGGAGCGATATGAAGTGATCACTCTGATGGGAGAGTTTTCTGTCCCCTCCACTGACACGTTGTGTTAGCTTAGGCAGTGGAATTATGTCTCTGTGTGTTTATTATTGTGACTTGCATGCCTGACCTCAGCTGGGCAAGCGTTGAGGGGAAATCAGCATTTTAAATCTTAAGAGCAGGAGAAGCTTTCCAATGTTTAGTGATGAGGAGGTTGCAATGGACTCGGGAGTTTATAGGCTGAGTCTCAAAAGGCTTAGATACTGCACCAGACCCTCAGTTGTTTACCGGGACCCCATCTGAGCCTGACCATCAAGCTAGAATCTCACCTTCACCAGGGTTTTGATAAGATTTCCAGAACTTCCTCCTGGGGTCAGCCCCTACATGTGCAGAAAGAGCCTTTCTCACCTTACTTGGGGTTTTCATTTCCATTTCATTCTATGAGCTTGGGAAGTGTTAGAAGCCGAACAGAGTGAGAATTATTTTTAGCCAAATGAAGCTGAGCCTTGCAGCAGTGCTGGGTTCAGAGCGTGGAGGTCCCTCATCTGTTTATGTGCTCTCCTAAGCCACTGGCTCAGAACAAAAGAGGTCAGCAGCCATCATTTCCTTGGCCTCAGAATTGCTAAACTCTTCTCACTTCTGCCGCTCTCTTGCTGGCTCCAGAAAAAATAGGGAGGTTTTGTACTAAATCCTTTGCAGGGCAAGAAAGAAATCTGTCCCCTGGGGAGAGGAGGCAGCAAAGGAGAAAATAAACTCACAGATTAAATTTTAAAATCGCTTTATTAACACTTTTTTCTCTTTAAGCCTTACTTCCCCCATGAACATCCACATCGTGAAACCTTCCTCTTCCTTAATAGCACTCTCTCATTTAAACCACAGTAAGAAGAGAAATGTTGAGGGAGGAATGCAAGTGTCTCTTATTCCCACTTAACCCCTTACACAACTGCTATGGAAACAACAAACACCCGATTTCAGTGGTGGTTTTTCATCCTTATGGGCAGAGCTTCATTTGCAACTGCACATGCACTAAAATCACTGCGCTGCACACACTGAAGAGAAACTTCTTTGCAAAGACATCAGCTTGGGCTCCGCTGGGGAACATGAGGCTGAGCACAGTGAAACTCTGTCTGCTTGGCAGCCCCCCAGCAGTAGTGGCTGTCATGGGTGTGCCAGGCTGTCCTTGCAGCCTTTGGTAACTTCCTGTGAATTAACAGCATTGAACACAAAGGCATTCACAGGTACAGAGGAGCTAATTGCCTGTGGACCCAGGTGAGTCCCAAGCCTTTAACCGGTGCAAATGAGCTCCCCCTTCTTTTCATCCTGGCAAGTCACTGGCAATAAATACCTCCAGGTATTTACATGGTGCTGCTAGGTTGTTTTGGACTGGCTTTGCAGGCAGGGCAGACACCTGAGCAGATGGTGGTTATCACAGCACAGAGCCCTTCTGATCACCCTCTGCTCTGGGTACCCAAGCGGAAGCAAACCTCATTGTGTGATGTACAGTTCATCTCTGTTTGTAAGTGGACATTATAATTTTGTTTCTCCTCCTCTGTGCATGCACCCTGCAAGGAAAATCCACCCCTTCTTCCAGTGGCATTGGGGTGTCCACCTGGATTCATCCCCTTTTGCTGGGGAGAGCCTGAGCTCCATTGGAATCTGCTGGTGGGTGACAACCACGTTCATCTCGGTGTCACTAAGGAATGCTGTTTGTTTGAGGTGAGAGGCAGCTTTGGCTGCCCACAGCCATCAACAGCACTGATGACACAGGCCTTGCCTGCAGTGTTGTCCAGTGGAACAGTTTTCCAAACACAGCCACCTGACACTGGCCCATTCCTAAGCACCAGCTTTCTCCAGTCTTCAAAGCATCATGCAACGTGTGTTTATTTATCCTTTCATTTCCATAGGCAGTGTGTACCCTACACACTTCATTGACAGTGATTAATGTCTTTCACAGTTTGATTCCACAGCAATTGCCTACGCCAAAAAGGCTCAATGTATTTCCTTAAACAAATCAAGCTTAATAAATATTCATGTGCAGTGTCCTCACTGTACATTAAGCCTGGATCTCTGTAGCTAATGATTTGAATGGCTGATAAAATTGTATTTAAATATTTTATGCAGAAAAAGAGCTGTCACTCTGACAGCATGTACACAAGTCACTGAGTGCAGGTACGCTCCAAATGGTCACACATTGGCACTGCACTACCAAAATCCTCTCTTAAAGTCCCCAGCCCTCCCAGTGCTGCCCCTTCCTCCCTTCTTCTCTCCTTTCCCTCCATCAGTTGTTAAAGCTAGCAAAGAAACCTGCAGTGGAGCTGGAAGCTGGCATGGCCACAGCTTTCTTAGGGATCCTGCTCCCCTTTCCTGTCCCAGTCTCTCCTTTCAGCTCGTGGCGAGTCCTGGAATCAGTATTTTCTTCTCAGAAGACTGGCGTTAACATGGTGGAGGTTCTCTGTGACTTTGCCCTTTTTACCTTCCCTTCCACGATGTCTGGAAAGCAGCCGTTTGACAGGGCTGGGGGACTGGCTTGAATCACACTGACAGCTCTGCACTCACTGGCCAGAGCACCTTGCAGAGCTACTGCACGTGCAGTGGGGCTTTGTCCCTGGGCAGAGCTGGGGGGATGCTGAGTTGGTTTCCTTCCCAGTTACTTTATGTTTTGAAGGTATCATCCTCACCAATGCACCAGCAACCATGGGTGGGAGCCAGGGCAGTGCAGGCTGGCTGTGCCAGGGCCCTTAACTGGGGGATGCCTGGCCCAAACTGGGGATGCTGTAATGCAGCCTGCCTAGCCCCAAAGCAGAAGATGTGTGTGGAGTGCATATCAAAGCAGTGCCATGTGCCAGGACTGGTCCTTGATCTACAGTCACCCTGTGCTTCTTTCTTACAGGTTTTCGTGGTCAATGAATTTGCAGTGAACCTGAGCAGAGGAGGAGAAACACTGGGTTTAATTCAGGATAACCAAGTACCACTGTGGGAAGTGCAGGCTACCCTTGGTTGAGCTTTTCTCTGCTTTGGGAACCCCCAGGCAGCTTTCAGCGTGAGCTTCAGGGAGATGCCAGCTGGGAGAGGTGAGGTAAGTGCATATTTCTTGGGACATATCACCTGGCAAGGAATTTCAAAGGCTTAAGCCCTTCTTGGCTCTCAGAGTTACAGGCTTAGCTGCAGCTTTGTGACTAGTCCTTGATATCCTAAAAACACACTACGAGCCTTTTAAATCAATGTAAGCACAGGCCACATCCATCAGTGTGTTGGAACAGGAAACATGCAGCAGTGCACTCATGTTGTCACTAAGATGTGCTTATCAAAGTACCCTGCACTGTGCAATCCCTCCTTCCCTCCACCTTTAATTTCAGATCCATGTTGAGGATTTTCCCCTCTGTGATATAATAATTTCAACTATTGACTCACTAGACTCTGTGATAGATAGAACTCAAACATTTTAGTCTTATTACATCCTCTGTACTTTAATTAACTTCAGCACGTTCATCAGCTTGAATGCTGAGATGTGGAGCAGCAAAGTAAATGAAAGGGAGATGGAAAAATAGCTCTGGATGTTATCTCCCTGTGTGTAGAGCTCCTGCTCCCAAGCCAGCCACATTCAGAAGCTATGGTTTTGAACTGAAACCTGTGCATGGGACATTTGATACCAGGTTGCTTCATTTAAATGGAGATGTTCAGACTGCACAGTTTTATCAAGTTATGGGAAAGAATGCCTGTTTAAAAGAGTGATGATTCAAAGAAAGGGTCCAAGCTGCAGGGAATTCAGTGCAGGGTTGTGTCTTCAGTGTGTAAACTCATTTGTACACCTCATGTACCAAAATCTAGTATTGCTGAGCTCAACAACTAATGGGAAAAGCAGAATCAAGCTGATGTCCTCAGCAGCCAGTGTCTTACCTTTATAATCACCCTCAAAACTAAATGCAGGTCACTCCACAGCCTTGGAATAACATCTACTCAGGGGAAATAGGTTTTAATATTCTGAGATTGCCTTGTGTCCTGGCAATCTTCCTCAATTCCATTATCATACCTTTGTGTATTCCTCCTAGCTGTATAAATATGCAATCAGCATTTAAAGTCTTGCTAAACTTTTAACTTTGATGGTAAGTTTGTGATTCCAGTATCAAGATGAAGAGCTAAACACGTTGGGCTGGTACAGCAAATACTTCCAGCAAGTGATTCATCTCTCTCTTTGGGGGATCCACTGGGTTCATTACTTGCTGTACCTGGTTCAGTAGATGGCACATTTGATTAAATAAATTATGTATTTTTTAAATGAGTGGTTCATTTTTCTATTGGATAATTTACCCACTGCTGGGGAGCTGTGCTCAGTTCATCATGCAGGGCATCTATTAGATTTTCAGTGATACATAAGTATCATACCTGCCTGAATGGCTCATATATCCATGATATTATCAAATTCTGCACTGAGAAGCACTTTATATGCAAAACGTGATGTGAAACATGTCCAATATGTTATGCAGATAGAACTGTACTTGCTTGAACTTGCAAAATGCACAAACATGAAACTATTACTTGCAATTTCTTTCAATTTTAGCAGCCCTTGTATACATGCAGTACTTAGTAATGTCTTTACAGTACCCTCTGTTCCTCACGCACTGTGCACCAGGGAGATGCTTCACCCATTACTGAAACGCAACAGGGTGTGAGGCAGCAGATGATGGGGCACACACAGATCCTGCAGCCTCTGCAGGGGTGGGATGTGACAGCTGCTCCTACAAGGATCCCTCACCCAGCCCAGCAGTGCTTTTGCTGCCACACTTCCTTTCACAAAGCACATTCTTCATCCTGACACAATGCACAGCTCCATAAAAGCAAGTGAGTTGCGGGCAATCCAGTAGGGACTGGATCAGGCAGAAATTCATGGTGTGATGTTCCATCAGACCCTTCTGTTTCATTCCCAAACATAACTCTTCTTCCTCCAGATGCGCCAACTCCTGATCCCAACTGCTCATGGTATATCTTAACTTCGGAAGATGTGCTGGTTGCTGGACTGCACCCACAGCCCTTCCTCCCCAGTGGCCAGGCATTTTGTAGGTACAGAAGAACCCCTGAAAGCAAAGTATAATGATAAAAAGGGGAAAGTATTACAGAGAAGGCCAGAGGCAGAGTTCTGATTTCCTCCATTTGCCTTGCAGAGGCCAGTGTGTATTTTGAATGAAGTTTACCATTCCCTAACCCATGGAACAGCCTCCCTGATGCTGCTGGATTCAGAGCCACCTAAAGCTGTATCTGTCTCTCAGAATGGGACACAGTGCTCTTTGGTAGCACACAGTAATGCCAGACTCCAGTCAGGACAGGGAGTGAGCCATCCCCAGCCCTGTGGGTGTTTGAGATGGCAGTTAGATGCACAGGGAGATTGCCTGCACTGGAGTTGGGCCAGGACACTGGGATGAGCCAAAAAAAGCATCTCCTTGGGACAACCGCTTCCAATTTGGTTTGCTCTGCTGTAGGCAACTCTACCCAGCCCAGTAACAACATCTCTCCAACTTGCAGCTGTATAAATCATTCTGCCTTTAATTACTGCAATGTGGTATTACATACATACAGCATAGAGTAATCTCCAATAAATGGAACCTTGCCCTGAAATTAATACTTAATCTCCTGTTTTGCTGCTTTTTTTTGCTCGCTGAATGCTGTGACCTTGTAGTTCATACTATTCGTGGGGCTCTGCTGCATATTAGAAGCTGTTTGCAGGAGCAGAAATTGTGTGAGAAACCTGGAATTTTATAGCAGCAAGATTTAATTTAGATAGCAGGGGCTGATCATTGAGACGTCTTTTGTACCACACTAAACTTTCCCCATTAACAGCTAACGGGCAGGCAGCAGCCTTGGAGTAAAATGAGAACATGGCACACCAGGAAGCTGCTCCAGCAGACATGGTGGCACCTGGATTGTGCTTCCCACCAGAGCCCCATGTGTTCCTCACCCAAAGGGGACAGTTCCTATGGTCCCCATGGTCTTGGGAGACCCTCTGCCGTGGGAAGTGGGGCTGCTGCCAGCGCAGACAACACAGGGCAGGGACCAGGGCTCCATCCCCTGCTGCCGCCCAGTTTTCATGCGATTCCCAGTGAGTCACTTAATCTCATGCCATCACCTTTAGCAAAGAGGGGAACCATCCTTCTCACTTCCGCAGCCTTTGACTGTCTGGCTTTTTTTAGCACTTTAATTTATGGGAACAAAGAGTGTCTTTCCCTATGTGTATTGAAAGCATCTGGCACCAATTATGAATCAGGCTTCTAAGAGCTTAAACACTATAAATGTGAACCAAAACTGCCAAAATCACTTGTTTTTTCTCTCTCTGCAGCTGGGTGCATTTCTGCCATCTTGTTATCAGAAATGACCTTGGCTTTGACTTTGTGATTTACTTGCCATAAATTGAGTGGGTGCAAAAGTGAAGCTGACTCCTTTAATACTGCCATATGAAATGTTCAGCTCTGCTTAGCAAAGACTTCCCCACCGTTCTCCCACTCCATTTGCCTGGCAGCCTGAAGCGGCCAGTGTTCCAGACAGCTTTAACTTCAGACCTGTTCTGACTGTTCCCCGAGTTCAACCAAACTTCTTTTTCTTTTCTTAATCTTGGTAATCAATAAAATGCAATTGATTTTTACAAGCATAATTCATAAGTGTCTCTTAGAGAGTGCATTCAGTCTTGGTAATGAGACTGAGTGATCTACTCTTTATTTTGCTATATGGGCTGTTAGTCATGTTGAAGAGGCTGCTGTGAGTGACTCCACTTTGAAGAGACATTTGTTTTTATTTTTATAAACCAATATTCCTTTTCTTGCAAAAAGGTATCCCCTTCCCCCAGTCCTGGTGGTATAATTTAATTTCATGTTTAAGCACACAACCTTGGGGTACCTGTCCCTCCTCAATGCAGTAGCACTGGCTGGATCAGGGTTTCTCAGGGGCCCCCAAGACAAGAGGGACAAGGACCTGCCTGAGCAAGTCCAAGCAGATGCTGCAAGGGCTGGAGCAGCTCTGCTCTGGAGCCAGGCTGAGAGAGCTGGGCTGGTTTAGCCTGGAGAAGGCTCCTGAAGGGGAGACCTGAGAGCAGCTCCAGTGCCTGAAGGGGCTGCAGGAAAGCTGGAGAGGGGCTTGGGACAAGGGATGTAGGGACAGGCCAAGGGGAATGGCTTGAACCTGCCAGAGGGGAGACTGAGATGAGCTCTGAGGCAGAAGCTCTTCCCTGTGAGGGTGCTGAGGCGCTGGCCCAGGGTGCCCAGAGAAGCTGTGGCTGCCCCATCCCTGGCAGTGCTCAAGGGCAGGTTGGACACAGGGGCTTGGAGCAAGCTGCTCCAGTGGAAGGGGTCCCTGCCTGTGGCAGGGGTTGGAGCTGGGTGAGATTTAAGTTTTTCCAGTTTATTTTGTGCAAATAAAACCCTGAGCCATGCTCTCAGACATAAACACCAGGGTTTTCCTTCCCAGCTGGTCGCAGTTCGTCTTTAGCCTTCACCTGGGAGCTGCCCGTGGCACGTAGAACTGAAGGTCAGCAGCTGCGCGCAGGCAGAACCACATATGGACAACCTCCCACCATGACTAGGAGAGCTGTTTGGAGGGGTGAGTGCCACCGACAGCTGCGGAGCTGGATGGGGATGGGAATTCAAGGGTTTGGAGAACGTGGGGTGGGCATGCAAGGATGTGGGGCTGCCATTTCCCAGTGCTGGAGCTGGTGGAGCCTCCGGAGAGGCTGTGTTTGCTGCTGGGCTGCAGGAACCTGCTCCTCATTTACACCATGTTCGGTTGCTTTTACTGTTTGGCTTTACCCGTGGAGAGCCCTGGGCTCAGCTGGGTTTTAAAGCTGCCAGGTACTGTCATTTCCTGGAGTACATGGGAGCCTTGAACTTCCGAAGCTGAAGTTGTACGTGTACCTCCCATTTCTCAGTGGAAAATGGGGCGGCTGCTCCTATGGCTCTATAAGCGCCTAGTTCAGTGATCTGCTTTCTGTAGGTTTTTGTCCTGTGGTAGGACTTTTGTCACAGTGAGAGCTGAAGAAACAGGCTCTTCTTTTGAAATTCATTTATGGAAAAAGTAATACCCACCTTGTCTGGGATCTTCTTGACAGTGACTTATAACTGATGCTTCAAAAACTATGCAAAAATCCCCGCAATGTCGCTAGCCTGTCAGCAATATATGCAAGAAAATTGCTTCCTGACCTCCATCATTTCATAACCTGAAGCATGAGTATCTACCAAACAACTGTATATGCCACAATTCCTGAAGCTGCTGATTCTCATCTTAATATTATGGACAGATTGGATGCCAAGTAGTTACAGCTTAATTTAAATGTCCATTCTAATCTTTACTTTCTCCATAGCTTTTATTCAAGTAACAATCTATTTGCAAAATGAAATGCTTAAAACAAAATATGAGGGTGTTTCTGTGGGGAAATGTAGAATTGTTTGCATTAGCTGGTCAGAAATTGGGAGCTGTTCTATTTGAGAAGTTAAAAGCTTTTCCTCCAGAGCATAAATATAAAACCAGAGATCAGTTTGTCTTCATGTTTTGTTGATGGAAATTGATGGTCCTATGGCTTTGTGCTAATGAAGAGTGTATTAGAGGTGTACATTTAATTTCAGCTGGCTGTTTTCTTGGGGTTTTATGGTTGTTTCCACCCCATACATCATGTACAGAAACGTCCCAGCTGCAAGTGCCAGGTTTGGGCAATTGCTACCACCTTTTCTTCCCCATTCCATTGAGCCACTTTCCTTCCAGGTCTGTGTGGTTCATGGAGCCTGTTGGACCATATTCCTATCGTTCCTGCTCCAGTAGCAAGGAATCTACAAATCAGTTCCTGTGTCTGTTCTGATCAATAGTTATGTGCATTATTTTTGTTTCCAGCATCTAGCAATAAGGACAGGAATCTTCAGCCAGTTCCCCCACAATCTCCCTTTTGGGTAGCATTTGAATTCACAGGCACCACCATGTTTTGGGAAGGTTTACTTCCTATTAGGTAAGTGTTGAGCAATCCGTGGGAAATCTGAATAAATCTGCCCGAAGGCCATCCTTCTTTCCATTTTTCTAGGCAGGAATATTGTCATCTCCTTGGACAGATTATTAATGCTACCCACAAGCATTGTAATAGAGATTGTGTTTTTTCATTCAGGGATTTTTGTCCTGATAAACAGACTGGCACAGACAAGTTACCCCAGTCACTGCACGAATGCTTGCCTTTAAACGCAGCCAAATCCTTGAGAGCCCCTGGCCCTGAGCCAGGAGACCTCTGTCATCGCTCTTGGCTCCTCCTCTGCAATCCATCAGCAGTGACCCGTCACCCGGCAGCTACCAGAAGAAATCTGGCATCTGGTGCATGTTTTTATCCCAGCCCGGGTTCTGGTGTCTTTCCTTTATCTTCATGTCTGGCTCAAAGCTGCTGAAACAGAGAGATATCTCTCTGTTGAATTCAACAAGCTTTGGGTTATGCTTTTCTTCCCTTACACAGGTCGTCTTTCTGTTTATTTTTGATGTTCCTTTGTGTAAGGGAACAAAAATTAACCTTCTCTCTCTGTTTATATCTCATCTTTATCTGTTCTACATGTTGTTTTTATGGATTATACATTTCTAGTTGTATATCTTAGAGATTCCTTGTCCTCAGCATTTCTCATACGATGTGGTGGCTTGTGAGGGCTGTAATTTATGAGATGCGGAGCATTTCCCAGCTAGGTCAGCAGTTCGGTTAACCTGGTTCAGTGGTGAGGAAAAGTTATAAAAATCTGAGCTTTTGGGTTGATGTGGACCAGGGTTCTGAACTCCAGATAGCCACGGGGGGTGGTGATTTGTGTTGTAAAACAGAGGGGGTGTTACATGCTCTGTGAGCATCACTGCCTGTGAGCAGAGTCCAGGACAGGTCCTCTCCTCTGTCCAGAGAAGCTGTGGCTGCCCCATCCCTGGCAGTGCTCAAGGCCAGGTTGGACACAGGGGCTTGGAGCAAGCTGCTCCAGTGGAAGGTGTCCCTGCCCATGCAGGGGTTGGAACTGGATGAGCTTTAAGCTCCCTTCCAACCCAAACTAGGCTGGGATTCTGATTCTCCTCCCCTCCACACTGGGCTCCTGCATCTCACCGAGCCCCAGGAGATCTTGTGCAGGGAGCAGTGGGCTGGTATTTTTCAGCACCCTCAACAGCTGGGATAGGAGTAACCAGAGCACATTTACACTCCAACAGAGTATGGTGGCAGTCAGGGTGACTGAGCACTTAACGGATCATGGACCATTCAGTCACCCATGTGACCCAGAAGGAGTAAAGCAGTTGTTTCTGATTCATCACAGGCAGAGCCAATCTTATCATCATGTAATTAGCACTTGCATCACCCAGTGGGGAGCAAGAGTGTGCACAGAGCTTGGGGCGGGGATGGGTCCACTCAGCAGGACATCATTGCTCCCAGCTGCAGCCCTGCAACTCATTCCCCTGAGCTCAGATGACCATCATCTGAAATACCCCCAGGGCAGAGGCACAGCTTCTCCTTTACCATGTTGGGGCAGGAAAGCACCAGGTTTTGTAATGGTTCTGGAGCCTGACTGTGCTCTTGCAGAAAGAAGGCTAAAAGTAGACCATAAGGTGTGAGGAGAGGAAAAAATGTGGGTGAAACGGTTAGGTCTGTAGTGGGTGACAAGTCAGGTAACTCACCCTGCAGCCACTGCCTTTCACCACTGCTGAAACCACCAGGAAACTCCAACTCTGTGATGCTGTCGTGCCTGCAGTAGGCTCCAGGTAAGAACAGAGCAGCTCTGGAGCCCACGTCCGTGTGCACAGGCAGAGCTGGTGAGTACAAACAGGCTCCCCAACTGAGTGTTCTGATGTGATATATAAGCTGCTGCTTTAAATTATTCATTTGTTTGCCATAGTGTGTTTGGTTTATATTTAGTTTGATGTGGTCTAGGGGTTGGAGTCATTTTCTAACTCACTGAATGATCTTTTTTTACTCGCTTAAGCACCTTCTGTGCCACATGAAAACAATTTTCAATCAAGAGTACAAAGCACCCACTTGCAGCCGATGGACTCTATTTCCTGTGAACATAATTTAGCAGCTTTGGCTATATTTCATTGAAATACATTTGCATGGTGAGGCCAAGGTAGTTTTTGACTTAGGGTGAGCCAAACTCCTTTCCATGCAAATACTTCCAGGAGGGAGTGACCCCTGCAGCATGCAGGTTAAATACGTTTTTGCATAATGTGTGTGTGATGTGAAATGCTATTTCTGCCTCTCTCTTTCTTGCCTCAATTTTTTTCTCTTAAGGAAAGTAATTAAAGGAAAGCATTTGAGTGTTGTGGAGGGGAATTCTGGTTTGGGTTTTGTTCATTTGGAACTATGGAGCATGCCTGGGTTTGCAGTGGGAATTGCCCTGCTGGCGGTGACAGCCGGTGTGCCCGGTCAGAGCCGCTTCCCTGGGTCAGCCTGGCAGAAGGAAATGCCATAATGCCTGTTTCCTGCCTGGATTCTCTTCCGCTGAGTGATTTATTAATTACAGTATGTCAGCTGGAGAATAAAACCTTGGCCTAGTTTTGGTTTGAGTGTCATAGGATGAGAGCTTGCTTAGTAGCTGCAAGTGGAGTACGTAAAGACTCGGCTGTAACGGGGCAAATGAGATTTTGGGGAGCAGTGTTCACTAGCTTTCATATAAAGATTTCCATGCACCTTACAGAGGAGAGAAAGGACCATTTCACAGATGGGAAAATTGAGATACAAGGAATAGCAATGACGCGGTGAAGGTCATACACAAAGTGAGTCACTGTCTGTGATCCCCAGGGTATCTACTGGAGTTTTGCTTCTTGTGTTCATCTAGTTTTCCTTAACTTCAAGTAGATGGTGAGAGAGGATGACAAGTCCACAGCCAATGCTGTACAGGAGGTTGGATGCAATAATTTTAGACTATTTTGGCTTCAAAAAATCTAGAAATTAATGAAATACCATCAAGGGTGAGATGAAGTTCAAGAGGTTCTTGATGAGCCCATCCTATAATCAACTGACATTTAATTTCCAAAGTTGCATTTAGATACGTTCGATGAAAATTGAATTTAAATGTGGTCAGAGAAATCCTTCAGACCAGCAGTGGTTACACCCAGCCAGTGACATCAGAAATGAGTAGAATCAAACCAGTTTGTATTTATGGAGACCCCTGAGTGCCTGAAGCACTGGTTTACAGTAAAACCACTACCAAAGTATGTGAGAGTGTAGCTGCTCCTGGGATAATCAAAACTTGATCTTGGAGAGCCTGAGAGAAGAAGGGAATTTGGAAGGAAAAGCAGTTTGATCAGCAGTTACTTTTAGTAAATAATCTGCTGAGCTCACTTGTGTCTGTGTTCCTCAGAAAAGCACTTAGAGGCAGTGGCTGTCTTTTAAACACGGCTTTGTGTGTTCAGCATCTTCTGCAAAAGAGGTTTGAGCTCTTGTCAGTAAACACTAAATAAATTATAACAGTAATTAAGAACCTGCCTTGTGCTTGCTCCACTTTTCCAGTGGTGAAAAAGGCTGTTTGTGGGCAGCAGAACTGTGGCTCTTGTGAGGTGGAGTACAGACCAGGTTCTGAACATGCTGATCAGTGAAATACCCCAGCCCAGGTGGC